AAACGAAGCGCGTACGGTCCTGATTTCTGTCTATCGCCAAACTACCACACACCTACCACTGTGCCGGCATCGCTGCGGGCCGTAAGATCAACACTGCATTTTAACTGTAGTTTCTACTATGACTGTATTGGTTCACGTTCACTAATAGAGCCTGAAATACAGGAGAGACAACAATTTAATAGTAGTAGTAATATCTTCTATAGTAGCGATAATTATGGATGTATAATTAAACATTTTTCCACAAGAAAGGATTTAAAATTAAGGAACGCGCGACAGGAAAAAACGAAAGGTATTAACGTTAGATTAAGAACGTACTGACTTTTGCTTCAGATTCACCATAATTTACCACAATAAGGACAATGATTTTAGTGTGAATATGTAACAAAAGTGGGTACGTTTTTACTCTAACATTGATACTTTTAGTTTTTTTTCGGAAGTCGTTTGTTATAAACCCTGCAACCTGTTATATACTGCAGTCTTTTATATACTGCAGCCAATTGGCTTATTGTACGATCCGCAGATCATTATCTTTAATCCCCCTTTTTTCAGAATATAATTCCGCTTGTTGGGGTTTATTTTGTCGAAACTTTTTGGTAATATCTAAAGCAGACAAGAAATTTACATTCCTAGTTTTTTTGCATTGACACTTAATAAATCTTCATCTAGCTGTTGTTCGACGATTGGATATATTCTGTCGTGTACATAAACTCTCCTGTGCTAAATGTTGTTGAACAGGTTTTGTATTTGTATATTTCTAAATATATTTTATCACGACCTGAGAATTTATTATTTTCTATTCTGTAGATGACATTCCTTCTTCTACGCGAATTCTGCTTCTTGAAATATTCTTTTATATAATAATTCTTCTCTACATTCCTTCCACCTTTGAACCTTCCCCTGTTTCCCGTATAGTGATTTCTTCTTTATCCGTTATTGTTGAGAATACAAAAGTACTCAAACTAGTTAAACCACCACTGTGTTAATTATAGAGCTGGACTAAATCGTTCTTTTATATAATTCGACTCAGTGTAACGACTCCTGTTGGAATCAATTTGTTTATCTCGTTAAAATATCGAATAATATACGACACCACGATTAGTGTTGTTTTTCAATACAAGTTACTATTAGTCTCTCCTTCCTGTGTAACGATTGGTCAATAATCAATTCTAACAAATCGCTATCTCAACTAAAATTTACACTAATATTCATCATACACTGTGCTTACACTTGATTTTTAAAATATTTTTATACAAAATATATACAGTTCCACATATATTTGCAAAATAACCGTGTTATTGATGTTCCAACTAAATCACTCTATCATTCAAATCAAAAGTAACTAAATTACCAAAAAATGTACTAAAATACTTCGTTGTTTGTGTAAAATTTATTTTTGAAATTGAAACTACGTGAAAAAGAGGAACGTTATTATATCACAAACATTCAACTTACGATTTAATCATCATTTTAATACTGATAACAAAGTTATACCACTCAATAAAATATCATTTATTGGAATAGGTTATTGTAAATTGAGAAACATTGCATCTAAGGGTATATTGTTATAGGGGTTCATAGGCACTTTGTTCCTGACGTTTTGTCTGCAACAGACATTATCAAAGGCGATGCGGGAGAGGGTCTGATCTGGTGAGGCAGATGTGACCTAGGTTATTTAACCTTGACGGAAATGATACGAAGTGATATCTACATTTGTCTTCGCATCGCCTTTGATACTGTCTACCGCAGTTGCAGATTAAACCTCAGGAGAAACCAAATCTCGATAACAAAGTACCTTTACACAAAATACCTCTTGACTGTAATTAACTTTATTTAAAGATATTAAAATAAATTTTGTTTTATTCAGTATATTAATTGTTGGATTACCTAAACACGGTAACTTTGAGATGAATTGCGATTTCAACTGTTACTTTACCATTGCTACAACTCGTTACAATGAAAAATATATATTTTGTCGGAGTTTAACATATGGCGCAGACGCATTTACTATGGGAGTCTAAAACCCTACTGTCATTTCAATTTAAAGGGCAGCATTATCTTCTTCTTATTATGTAGACATGGCTCTGTCTACTTTTCAATGTGACTCCAGTAAGTTGTCGTTCCATCGTTTTCTTGGCCTTCCTACTGATCGTCTTGGGAAACCCGTCTTTACTACTTTAATTGTTATCATTTGGCGTATATGATCGTTCTAGTCTACTCTTCTATTTCTTACCCAGATCTTGATGTTCTCCACCTTGCATCTTCGTCGTATATCTGTACTTCTAGCTCTGTCCCATAGTGTCTCTGCTGTTGCTAACATCCTTTTTGTGTACTCTGTATCAGGTAATGTGTCTGCCGCGTATGCGATTATTGATCTGATAACTGTTTTGAAAATTCGTGTCTTTTATTTCATTCCCGATATTTTTATTTCTCCATATTGTTTCATTCAGGCAATCTGCGGCTCTGTTTGCTCTATTCACTCGATCTTCCACTACAGTTTCAAGCTTTCCGAAGCTAGATAATGTGAAGCCTAGATATCAACTCCATCACTTGTTCTATTATCTAATCTTCCAACTCCAATTTATATAAATAAATGCACACAAACAAATACAAACAGTGCATGAACAATCTCTCTTTCTATTTTGTAGTGCAGAAACAGTAAGTAAGAACATTACCGCCGTATCTAAAAGGAAGAGGACTTATGATATAGGTGAGCAATAAGAAAAGCAAACTTTAAGAACGTATTTTGCGAAGCAGGCTGACACATCCACTTTACATCGCACAATTTGCGTCATAGGTTGCACCTGATGATTGAGCAATGTAAAGTGAATGTGTCACCGCTTAGTTTAAGTGATGAACGCCGCTTAAACTGAGAGAACAAGAAATGCGATCTTTCTGAGGAAGAAAAAATGTACAATATTGGAGGAAAAGCATAGACTATATGGTAGAAACCGTTACAATAGATTAATATCGATACTTCACACACGGTAGAAACATACGTAAAATGTATTTAGGAAAGTCCATCCTCCATAGGAATGAAAGCAAAGATAATACTGATAATTAACGACGAAGTAAACTGCTATTCCTAACTATTGTATTATTATTTCAATAATTATAACGAGTGAGCAATACATTGAATACCTGTGGTAGAAATATCACACATTAGACCATCTCTACATTGGAATGTTTTGACGAAAGACATATGCGTGCGGTAGATACTTCGTGGAAATCGAGCAGAGTAGGCGCCATTGCCACTTATGACATGACAGTGCACATTTAATCCAACAATTAAGCCACTTACTAAATACTACAAAGTTATAATATAAAATTTTTTGAAAGTAGATCAGATAAAGTTAGGCTTTTATGTTAAATATTATTTAAATTACGTTAGGTCTTACTGAAGGAAGACACTTGTTGGAAATAAATGACATAGACACATGCACATACATTAAATGCGTAATTAGTGATTGTATACGTATTGTATAACTGTGGCGCTTAGTTATCACGTTCGTATTATATTAGATAAACCATTGTTATACTATTGTCTCAATATCACTAATAAACTTTACACCATTCTCAGTGAAAATAAATTTAATCAGATTTTCATTAGCTTTAACTTGTTCTTTATCTAATTTGTTTTCTTTTAAGTTTGAAATACTTTCACTACACTTAAGTTTCACACTTAGATCTTTCTCTTTAAAATTAGCTAAACTTTTAGAAACCTTAATACTTTTACTATCTTTATCTTTATTTTTAGTATTACCACTATCTTTGTCTTTGTTTTTACATTTGACATTGTCTTTAATTACGTCACTGTGTTTTACATTTATTTTAGTTTTAACATCTTCATCTTTATCAACGCCCTTGTATTTATCGCTATTTTTCGTTTTCTCTTCTTTACGTACCTTCTGTTCAGGTTGGTTGTTAACGATGGTATGTACTTTGAGCCTTTCTTTGACAACTTTGACAGCTTGACCAGGATGTTTCAAACCAGGCTTTACGAAGCTATCAACGGTGTCAATCGATAAGCGTGTGCCGTATTGTTGTCTCGAGAATAGGTTGTTATCACAAATGGACATGCAGTTTTTGGGACTCGGTGAGTCCATAGTGATGTCTGTCGGTGAAGGTGTGAGGAATACTGAGTTGGGAACGTGCAAATACTTACTGTTTTCCAAGAAAGCAATTAAAAAAAGAAAAACATTTTAGAATATATTAAAATTACATAAAACGATATGTTCAAAGCCACCTCTATTTATGTGTTGTTTGGATTTGCATTTGACAACGTGGAGGTTTAACTGTACTGTTTTCATACAACCGAACTGTATTCATTGTCACGTTAACTAATATTTGAAGAGGGAGACATTATGTCATATTTAAGGTTGCTGGGAAATGCACCCTCTTACCCCCCTTATAATCCCTTTTTTTAATTACTTCCCCTTTTTTATTTTATATTTGGATTATCTTTTTTTATCTAACCCTTTTTATTACTGGAAACTTAAGATTTGGTTGTATGTCAACATGATGGAGCTCCTCCTCACTTTGCGCTACCTGTGCGACATTTTTTAAACGAAAATTTTCCTGCTCGTTGGATAGGTAGAAGAGGACAGATGATGGATTGGCCACCTAGGTCAGCGGATTTAACACCCCTATACTTCCTCTTATAAGGATATTTAAAAACAAAAATTTATGCTACTCAACCAGAATCTCTAGATATCAGCCTATCTTAAACCGCCATTGCAACGTTACCAATTCTAATAGCAGAGCTTGTGATGTAGAGGTGGCTTTGATAATGTTGTTATAAATTTCCTAATATATAGTAAAATCAATAAGCATAGAATTAAATGAATCAATGTAAGTAATTCACTAATATTAATAATTTTAAAAATGTATGAGAAGCTTCTTAAGTTAAAAGAGAATATAGATAGGGATAAATAATATATTTGAAATTAAAATATGAATCTGCTAATTTATTATATAATGAAAAATTATTTGTCGATACTTACAGGGTTTTTTGTGATCCATACAAACCATTTTTGTGAATATAATCTACAACTTTGTCAGGCAAAATGTATTTAACTGATTCATTTCTTCTGAGTGCCCTCCTTACTTTAGTTGAACTAATTTCATTGGTTATCCATTCTGTTACAATTGTGATGTTTGCCTAAAAACAGAATTCTCAATATTGTATTAAAATGTTATTATTTAACAACCAAAAAACAAAACACGAAGGAAAAAACCTTATTATGTTTTAAATAAGATATTGATATCTGTAATTTAAACAAATCTTCATCTTTCTGAGTAATGTGTTCATTTCAGTGGTAAATTAGCTTACACTAAATACTCCTGTGATAAATATTTGCTTTTCAATAGAAAACTAGGACACATGTATTGGATAACATGTGTGTCTTGTTTCAAAATACTTCCGCTACATTTTAAGTTAACCTTGTAGATTCAGCAGTTTTATAAAACTATTTGGCCTAGTAATGAGTGGTTTGTAATAGAATCCTGATGTTATAAAAAGGTAAACAGAGAGCAATTGTGGTCATTTATTAATCATAATTTCAGTATAAGTTATCCTCTAGTAAATAGTAGTGAATAAAAACATTAAAGTTAATATACAGGGTGGTGAATCGTCAAACGGGCCATAGGAAACTCAATGGGAAATTCTAAATTGTTGAATTCCTGCTTCCCTAATTATTTTACACCAAAAGTCATGGGAAACTATTTGTAGAGGACTCAAATATGTATCGAAAACAACTGTTAAAATTATTCTACGACTTAAACATATTCCAAAATTTTGCTAAAATATAATACATTTTTCTGTGAAAAAATGTGTATTACGTGTTGCGTTTTGTCATATTATTGTTTCTGATATTTGACAATATTTAAATCAATTATATTACATTTATCTATGATTTAAATGGCCAAAATTTTGTGATTTATTGTTAAAAAAAATTAAGTTGATTAAAAAATGTACTCAATTGAGAAGAAAAAATCAATAATAAAAATGTTTTATTATAACATTTGTTATAGTTTTATGTTTAGAAATTATCATATATTATTATTAGGAATAAAGATCACAGTAACAGTATATTGGAATTCATTGAATTGTTGTATAACTTATTTTAACATGGAATTAAATTTTAGTGAATTAGAATATCTTACGTTAAATAAAGATCCGGTAGTGGCAGGAAAAGGTTCGCGCTATTGCCTGAATACAACATTACGCGATTTTTCGTCAACTGAGTACATTTCATTATATTGATCGATTTGTAAACAATATAATTTATTGTTCACAAAGTAATAATGTTCATTAGTAGTAGTATTTAGTAAAATTCATTGTTTATAATTTAATCATAAAATAAAAAAATTGACAATTCAAATTGTCAAACATCTGACATAAATATGATAAAACACAAACCTCCTAAATATATTCTTGCATTACGTGTGGCCTAACTTTTAGGGGTGGCCTGAAAAATATATTATATTTTTGCAAAATTTTTAAGTACATTTGAGTTGTAGAATGGTTTTAATATTTGTTTTTAATTCAGATTTTAGTCCTCTACAAATAGTTTTTTATGACTTTTGATCTAAAATAATTAGGGAAGCAGCAATTCAACAATTTAAAATTTCTCATTGAGTTTCCTATGGTCCGTTTGACGATTCACCACCCAGTATATGTATCAATCCTCTCCCAAGTAGTCAAGAGGTAGTTACATAGAAAATTATTGCCAATTGATTTATACTTTTATTCGTATATTAGCGATAATATAAGTTGAAACCACAGCTATATTTTCCATTCTAATTATAGAATATAAGGTTACACACATAATTCAAGTCTTTTGGTAAAATTATTGTCAGCTCTTTGCTGTAATACATCAAGTGATATATTAGGAATTACTTTTATACAGGATAACAAATAATTCATATAGAAAATCAAAAAGTAAACATATTAAAAAAAAACCTAAAAGACAAACATCTTACCATATATTTTGTCAGTAAATCTGAATTGTAAATGAATTCTGCAGGATTTGAATTTGATCTAGTTATAACTACAAGCCCATGCCTTCCGACAATTTCTTCTAACTGAAAAATACATTAACAATAAGAGAATATTTAAACTTAACTGTTCCTTACATCTTCATTTGCCCATAAACCTGGTGTTCCAAATGATTCTAAAAGGTCAGCACCACATAATAATTTTACTCTAACAGGGCCAGTATCACCATTTCTAATAGTTTCTGGAATCCACCTTAATTCATTTTCATTAATATCATACAGGTTGTTAATGCTTTCATTTACTGCTGCATTTATATGATTCTAAAACAAATATGCAATCACTACATCTCATTTGCATTTTAATACAGTATATTACTTGGTGATATTGCAAAACTTCTCTAGTTCTAGTCCAGGACTCTTGGTTACATTCCCAATTAGAATAACTGACCCAATCATGATTTTGCAAGGATAATTTTACCATCTCAAGTCTGTGGTTGGAATGTATGAGATCTTCTTTGCCATAACCATCATGAACAGGAGATATTACTCCCCCTAGTACTACATATTGTCCCATACGATGAAGATAATCCCTGGCAAGTTCTACAATATTAATTTAGATGTTCATTAGATTGTAATGACTATGAAAATATAATACTACTATGTATGGCACATGCACAGGATTGATAATTTTTGTTTTAGAGTTTGAAATATCGTATATTTCTACTAACAAAATACTTTTTAATAGAATAATTTTCTAAAATAATTTACCAAACATTCTAAGGTGCATATTAGTAGGAGGATTAAAAGATCCACATGCCAATAACACTATATTTGTTGGGGAAGGTGGACCCATTGTTACATCTGATAACAGTTCGCCTAAATTTTAATACTCATCAATACTATGTATTACATCTGCAGAAAATAGATATTCAGTTAATCTTTTGTTTTTTTAAATTGATTAAATGACCTCATATTTCACAATGTTTTGACAGTATAAGAAACCTAATGACATTTATTGTCATTTATCATATTGGAATTTTTGTTGAAATCATATCCTTTTTAAATTAAGCGTAACCTGATTTTAATATTTCATAATTTTTACTGTATATACTGTTTTAATATATTTAAGATTAATATCTTAATATTATCATACAAAGGTATTTTATTTTCGCATTTGAAAACATTTTTAGATTTGACATTTCTGTATATATTTTTAAATATAAAAAGAAGAGAGTACAGTACACAGCTCTCTAATAAGGTAAGTCCCATAGAAATATTTGGGAGAGAGTTTCTAGCGCCAAATGCGGACGGGCCGAAACTAATTTCATTTGGCGGCAAATTTAAAACGTAGATTCTGAATTTTAGGCGACAAATTCAAAAAATATGTTCTGAATTTTAGGCAGCAAAATTCAAAAAGTATGCTTTTAATGGAAAATATAGTCATAAAATAAAAACTTATTCTATGCCAAAAAATACATTCTCTCTGTCCCAAAGTCCCGAAAACAACAAAATAAAACACAGATATCCTGATACTTCTTTATTTGTAAAATTTTCTTTGGTAATGTATTGGCAACAAATATCCTCCTCTTCTTCATCCCTTAAGCTCTTGTCAGGGTGTGGGTAAGGACACTTTAAATATTATTAGCTTGCTGTTATTTAATTTAAATACAGAAGCAAAATGTACAAAATAGTATTAAGTTTGTATTTACTAACAAAAGTTAGTATAATTAGGTGCTGTTCTTACCCGGTGCCTGTAAAAATAAACTTCTAATCCTCAGAATGTTTAATAGCCCTTCGTCCAACTTTAACTTTCACTCATCCACAAACAATATTCTTTTGATTTTTTCTATTTGGAATATTATACCATTTTGGTATTGTACCTTCTTCTCATTTAGAAATGTTTGTTAGATATATAAAAGTTGATGTATACTGCTTTTATCTCCTATTTCTAAGTTTTGGGATACAATTACAATATTTTCTTTACACAAAATTCTTTAGAAATAAGTTATTGTAAATTTAAGTTATGATTTAGGTTGTTTTTTGGAAAACATTGTACAGTATAATCACAGTATATTGTTTTATAAATAATTAGTAATATACTGTGGTATAATCATTATTTGAGTAAATATGCAAAACTAGTGAAACCATGGCAAATAACAACAGCACTTACATCAACGTCATACCAAAGAATATAGACTCTTAAGCGTCTATATTCTTTGGTCATACGCGTCTCAGAGGTAGGTGGAGGTAGGTGATTTGAGATTCTAACTCGATGGTGATTTGCAATTTGCATAAAGATATCTAGTGAAGTGAGTTAGAATCTATTTAGTAACTTGTGAACCTAATCGAGTTAAAATCTATTCGATGACCTAACGTGACTAGTAGCGCTATCGCTATTATTAACGGCTGGACTTATGCAACTCACTCTTCCCAGCTGTCCTATTCCACTTACACTACCATTTGTGGTATATACTGTGGATGAGGAGAGGACAACAAATACACATCTAGGTTATGTTGTTATGATAGATTATTTTAAATTTGAAAGATCTTTTACTTATTTTATATTATTGTGACGTAAAATTATATTGTATATTGAATAATTTGTAGATCTTTTAAGGTTAACGTTCTATTTATACCATGGAACGCGGTAAAGGTGGGCCCGGTACAAGAGGGCCCAAGTCAAAAATAACACAACCTTTGCCAGATTCATTTATTGCCTTAGGAGCAAAACAGTCGTCCTCACGAGATGATTCTAAAAGGACAGTACCCTTACCAAAATCATCAGTTTCTTCACATATTGTAGGATCTTCTGGAAAAGGTTTCTAAAATATATTTTAAAATATGTAATCCAAGATTTTATATTGGCATTTTTTAGCTTCAAGTGATAAACTCAAGAGGGAAGGAAGTTCTTCAACTTTAACTTCAGTTAATCCTGCAAAGAAAATCAAAGTTAACCTCCCGGGATCAAGGACTGGCTTAAATGTAGCTAGTGGTAGTGGTTTATTACCAATTGAGCGTATGACAGGTGGAACTGAACCATGGGAGTCTCTTGTTGTGGAGTGTGATGCAGCAGATGCTTTTGAGACCATATCGACTCACATTAATAATGACAACTCAGAAAAAGCAGTATGTTTTTTTTTTAATTTTAGTTATGTTTTATTCATTGGTATATTTATTTTAGTGTAAAACTAATTACTTATAACTCACTTCAGTTTTGTCTTGAATACTTCAAAAAAACATTACAAGTTTCTAAACATATTTAAATGATTATTCTGCTGAAAACCCATTATTTTGGGTGCAGATGACTTCCATGATCTTTTATTTCTTTTCTGTTAATATTGTAAACATAATAACATACATTTGATGCTATGATTTTACACTATGAATTTGCAAACATTAATGCTTTTTAGTTGAAATTTTGAAGGTAAAAAAGGGCTTAGTAATCTTTTGGTACCCAGATTGATATTATTAATTAGATAAAGAATGGTAGTCATATGAATGATGTCTTTACTGACTGTTGAGGGGATTAGGAGTTTAAAAATCACATATTCTTCAGGGCCCGATGGTATACCTACAGCACTTATTAAGAACTGTATTTTTTCCCTTTGTAAATTTTTAATTTATCATTGTCATCATCTGTATTTCCACAATATTGGAAAAATAGTTTTCCTACACCTACCTATAAATCTGACAATCGCGAGTGTGTTAACAATTATAAAGGTATAACTATTCAATGAGCAATCCCGATACTTTTTGATAAATTGGTATAGATAAATCTCACCTGGGCTAGCAGAAACATAATTATTGATTAACAACATGGTTTTTCTAACGAGAAATCAACTATAACAAACCTTGTCAATTACCAACAATACTTGTTGGGTGCATTTGAGAATAAAATTCAGGTTGACAGGTTTTATTTTTGTAACTTTTGGACATAGATTAGTACTTTTTATGAACACCTACTGTAATTTTAAAAAAGGGTGATTCTTTCTGATAAATAAATCTAAATATAAGTTGAATTGATTGCAAGAAGGACAAATTTATGGTAATCTGTTATTTTCTATGACTATATATATGGAGAATCCACTTTAAATTGTTTGTTATCATCATCTTCGTTACATCATCTTCGTGCTACAGCCCTTAGAGGGCCTCGACCTTCTCAAGCTTTCTACGCCATTCTGTTCTGTCCCTTGCTTGCATTTCCCAGTTGCCGACTCCGATCTTCTCGGCATCTTGTGTTACCACGTCCATCTACCTCAGCTTTGGTCTACCCCTTCTCATTCCCACAGGTTGCTTTTATACTTTTTGTATCCACGGGGATACTTTTAGAATATTATTTATTATGTTCAATTCAGGGGCCCGGGCTACATGTCCTGCCTGCTGCAGGCGGTTTCGCTTAATTATAGTGATAATATCTTTATGACCAAATGTATGCTTGTAGATATTCTGCAGTTCAAAGTTATATCTAAGCCTCCATATTCCGTTCTCATAGACCGCTCCGAATATCTTGCGTAGCACCTTTCTTTCAAAAATGGATAGAGCGGATTCATCTGTTTTCATTAGCATCCATGCCTCTGATCCATATATGAGAACGGGGACTATCAGTGTTCTATACAGCTTTATACGAGTTTTTTAAGACAGATGTTTGTTAGCTAAGTACTTTGATAGACCATGATAACACCTGTTTGCAATTATTATTCGCCTTTTTATTTCCTCAGATGTGTTATTATTGGGGTTAACCGATGTCCCTAGATATATGAACTCTTTGACTGCTTCAAAGTTTTGGTCATTGATAATTAAATTTGTGTCAACATTTCCAGCTCTTGTGTTTGTGTTAGTCGCCATGAATTTGGTTTTATTTTGATTTATATGTAACCCCATTCGTTCTGCTGCTGCTACTAGCTCGGTTAGGATTTCTACAGTTCTCGCCCTAGTTCTTGTTATAATGTCCACGTCGTCTGAATATGCTTGTAGATATTCTGCAGTTCAAAGTTATATCTACGCCTCCATATTCCGTTCTCACAGACCGCTCCGAATATCTTACGTAGCACCTTTCTTTCAAAAATAGACAGAGCAGATTCATCTGTTTTAGTTAGCGTCCATGCCTCTGATCCATATGTGAGAACAGGGACTATCAGTGTTCTATACAGCCTTATACGAGTTTTTTGAGACAGACGTTTGTTAGCTAAGTACTTTGATAGACCATTATTTGTTTGTTATATATTTTTGTATTACAATAATAATCTTAGTACAATTTTTTAGGTTGGGTATATTCTTGGTCTTATAAAGAACCTAAAAAACCAGAGATCTAAACCATGCAAAGTGGTTTATTCAGTCCTTGGTCTAGTATGTTCACTAAAAGCTTCTATATTTACACATGACATGATAGTTACAGCTATGTTAAGTGTATTAAGAAGAGACGTCAATGCTGGATTAAAACCTGTAAATAGGGGGAATCCACAGGTTGATCAGATATTTTTAACTTTTTTATCTCGTGCATATGCAGAACTTGATAATTGGCCTGAGATTTTTGTTAGAGTAAGTATTATTATTATTATTATTATTATTATATTATTGCTATTGTACAATTTGAATATCATTTATTGTAACTCTTTTCAGCTTTATGTTGAAGATGCTGTTGGAGATAGAGTGTTTGTTGATTCTCCACTTGCCAAACCATTTGTAGATAATATTATAACAGCATTTAATACTAAAATGCCCCCATCATCACTGTTAAAGTCAGAAACTTGGACTTCTGCTTCCAGGGACACATCAAGTCCTTTGACAATTAATAGTATCGATGAAGATGATGGTATAGTATTGATTTATAGTATATTTTTTGTATACGCAAAAGAAAATACATGATGTTTGATACTTTTCTCATTTGTTTTTCATCATAGTATGTTTTTTCACTGAAAAAAATGTTTTTCTTTTAGTTTTCAGCGAACAACGGGCAGTTGTTGAATCTTGGCCATACAAAGTATATCCT